TATATATTCTTAAATATCTTTCCTTACTTGCTCTCGTGCTAACACGTCTTGTCTCGTCAAGAACGTAATCCGTACTAATTTGTATCGTATCCTTTTAACCTCTACGTACCGTGAGTGATACACTCGCTCGATCATTGATGTTTTGTTTATGTACTAGTTTGAAGGACCTATTTCCTGGAATTCTGGCAAAGAGAAACAAATGTAAAATCAACATAGTCGATTGTTCACATCGACATTACTCAGCCGTAAAAATTCCTGGAACTTCGTAGGCTGTATGTTTATTATTCTTCTCCGAGTGTTACCTATCTCTCTCTATTACGTATGCGTTGTATTCTTAAAAAGAAATAAACATACCAGCACGTAAGACAAAGGTTAACAACTACGTACGTGATAAATGTATGAGATAGATATGTGTGTGTATATATATATGTGTGTGTATGTCGTGTATATATACCACATGCGATTTTCATACACGCGTATATATCTCATTATTAATATATATATGCTATGGATATTTGACTATATACTGATGATATATACATATATATATATACATATATGAGAATGAGATTCTCATATCGCGTATATATATATATATATATATATATATATATATATGTATATACATATGCGATTTTCATATATGCATATATATACTCGTATGAAAATCGAATATAACAGAAAATTCGATAGTTCCAGATAATTTAACAAGCGATTATTAATTAGAGTATCGTTAATAAATAAGATAATTACCTATATCGTGAAAATAAACTCGAACAATCAAAAAAAAGTTATTACGTAGTAGTCGTTACAGGAGACGCCAAATCGTCGATTTCTTTTTTCGTGGATATTTCTTAAACGCGATGATATCTCGTTCTGCAAACGATACACACAAGAAAATGTCTTTTAAGGAATCGATTGATATATTGGAAAAGGATGCACATTAGAAAAAAAATTATGTTAATTGTTTATAATTAAGACTATGACGAAACACCGTGCAATCTATCGAACAAATAAAAAGAAAATGGCGTGAACATTACCGGCAACGAATTAACTAGGCCCCTCCCCTTTCTCACTTCTCCCGCGAAAAATTAAAAATTTATTTTTCTATCTATTATTATGAATTAAAATATAAAATAAACTATTACGGCATGTTAATTAGCGTAAATTTGAATTATTAGAATCATAAAAGTTAATAACTATTGTTTAATTAAATAATTAATAAAAAATTAATTCCTATCGTATGTACGTAATTTTACACTTACACATACTTAACTTGCTATCGTAAGTCAAAAGATATACATACAGATAATTATTAAATAATATAATGAAATAATATATATATATATATATATATATATATATATGTAAATACTCTCTCTACATTTAATATGTCGTAAGATTTTTTATTTATAAATGTCTAATAATTTTTAATTAAAAATTTTTCATGATTTATCTAATACGTATATACTTTTAAATTCAACGCACGAGATCATCTCTCAAATTTTTCTTTATGCCGTCTTGCACGTTCTTGAAAATCTTATTATAATAAAAAATTAACAATTACAACAAAAATTACATTTTCTTACACTTTTTAATAATGCATTATCTCGAACATATTAAAATCGCGAGAATAATCTTTTACATCACTGATACAATTTTGTTTCTGATTGGTCAGAATCAGAATTGTATGAAATCAAATTTTCTGATTGGTTCATTATGTAAAGAAGAAAAAGAAAAGTAGTTCAATGAATTTCTTGAATATCAACAAAAATAATTAATATTCATATCGGAATTTGTTTAAAACTTATGTCAAATTTTTATATTTATACATATATATTATTTTATATTACATATTTATACATTTATACGTATATATTATACAACGATAATAACCACAAGTATAACCTAATTTCAACAATATGTTAAACTAAATAAATTCGATGTAGGTATAATATTATTCATACATATAATACATTATCCATCTTTATTTTTTCAATATAAAATGAAATTAATTTTTTGTTAATCAAATATTATATTCCATTTAAGTAAAACTCTTATTGTTATTATTAATTAATGTAATAAAATTTTCATTTATATTAACATAGTACTTATTTCAGCATTGAACAACACCATAAGTCTTCTTTATTGATTGTGGAGTCACAATTTAGCGGCTTTGAATAGCTAATTAGGATCATTATGGTTATATTATCGTTTTATACTGATATCATCTAAGAAGTTTAATTAGGAACGCGGAGTCATTAAGTCTTCTTTAGATTTTGTGAGATATATTACAGATATCGAATGTATTTAATGATAACGAGCAGGTAATTGCTTCGATTATTTTTTTTTTTAGAAGTAACGATATTTATATTAAAAAAAAGATAAACCCGTAGAAATAGATCGACGAAAGTGAGACTTCTTTTTTATCAAGCTACGTTATAAAAGAAAAGTTAAAATTTTAATTAATTATTATTAATTTACGTATTTATCTCTTCTAGAAATAGATTGCTATATATTTTTTACTATTTATATAATTAAAAAATCTATATATATATATATATATATATATATGCGTATGTGTATGTATATATATATAGATACTCTAGATTTTACTAATAGGTATTGTATTAGTATCAAACTCCATTTGATATAAAACGAAAAAATGTACAATCGTTAAGTTTTAATGAACGATCTCATAGCAAGGAAGTCACGTGAGATTGAACGATGATCGGAATTTGTCGCGATTAAGTTTCCACAGCAAGTTTCGTTACGAGAATAGATGCTTGAATAGCTCGAAGGGATTAGAGAAACGCGAGATCATTATTTATGCCTTAGCTCGGCGCTATACGACCTGTGCTTGTTGCATCTTACGTCTACCTGTTTAAATTTATCATACGTCATGAGCTCTGCTGCGTGCCTCTTCGACTTTTACTGTAACGAGCTTCTCTAACTTTTACATGACCGATGTGATTTAACTTCTTTTTTCTGCTTTCTTTTTTATAATTGCAATAATATACATTTGTCATTTGTTCGAATAAAATAATTAAACAAATTTTTTGTATTATCGTCAAATTCATCAAATATGATGTAAGCTGAATTATAATTAAGTTTCTTTATAATATATATATATATATTAATATAATTATAAATATATATTATATAATAAAAAAATATATATTAGAAAATGATATATATATATATGTATATGTAATAATTAACTATTAATTAAATGTTAAACTTGATTATAATTAGCATGATATAATTAGCAAAAAATGTCAATGCACATTATATACGTAAGATTTGATATTGTTTATGTTGGATTTGTATCATTTATATTATATTTTTATGAACAATCAATATTTCAAGGAAATTAATTCCAACAAGTATTAAGATCATTTTGATAAGCATGAACACGTAGATGAGAATTAAAAGAGTGTAGGATCGAACACGCAGTATGTTGTGTAGACTCTAGATTATTCAGATTGAAATTCGCTCGGTTGGACGGATCGGTGGCTATTAGCGTGCGTAACGTCGTTGTTGCTCGTTAAGCTAATAAATTAAACGAGCCGCGTGAACGAGCGTTATAATTACGACGATGTCACACCATACGTAGTTCGCGCCTCGATGCCGATTATCGTTTGGACGACACATCGTCCTGTCTCCTGTCCTTTGAAATCGTCCGAGTGTTGATCACTTTCAATCTTTTTACTTTTTACGTTAATCGACATTCCGATCATATAATTTTTCTTCGTTATCTTGTATTTTTCGATCTATCTTATATTTATCTAATGAATTCACATTACATTTAATATTATTTATTTATTTATTTCATCGAAGTTGTTTCAATGATAAGAATATATCCTTGGACGTTGATTAATTTCAAGTTGAATTTGACTTAATCGAAGATAGTTTTAATTAATGATTAATTGACAATTAATTTTTATTAAGAATATTTTAAATCTTAAATAAAACTTTTACAAATGATATATTAATTATTATTAATTTAATATCCCAATGGATATTAAAACTATGAATTAACTTGTACAAGGATATTGTAATTTCTGTAATTAACTCTCTTAAAAAGAATATTTTTTATATATTCTTAGAAAAAATATTCTCTACATTAGTTATTTGAAATAAATGATATGAAGAAATCGAATGAAAAAAAAATCATCGTTAGAATATCATTAGAAAAAATATTATATATATATATATATATATATATATATATCGACCTATCTGTTAGGTAGAAAAATATAGATAGATCGATCATTGGATTAGAATGTCAATAAAGTCAATAAATTTTTATTTTATTATCCAATAACACGAGCTATTGTTTTTCATGGCCGAATGGATAATCCATAAATATACATGGAAATAAATCGTCTCTCATTTTCGTCGAAGTCCAAGATCTCATTTAAATACAATGCTTGTATATACTTTGTATGTCCGATGCATCGCTAATTGCGAAATGCGATCGATCGATGTGGATCGTCGCAACGACGAAATTCGTCCGGTTAATTTTACGCGTGCGGATTCGCATCGAGGACGACGCGGATTTATCGTCTTGGGGCGGTGACGCGAAGAGAAAACGAGATCCTACTAGAAATTGATTGAATATTTATGAAGCTTACGTATTGATTTATACCTAAAACGTTTCAGAGTTACTTTCATGAATATATTATTATCACGATCGATCTAAAGATTTAAATTATTCGAGCTTTATACATCGTGCTGCTGACATGAAACTTTATGAATAATTATGAAATCGTTAGATTCTAACGTTGCCGATAAAAGAAGCGAATAGAACTCATCGAATTCTAAAGATATTATTATTGTTATGCAACTTGTTCATCAATGATCATACATTAAACCAAACAAGAAAAAATTCATTTTTCATTGCACGTTGCACATTTATGAATAATAATGTATCACATAATAACAGTGTCTTATACGTATGTACATACATATATACTTTTTTCTTTTTATGTCAACAGGATGTCGTTGCAACATGATAGGTTCGATCAGTACGACATGTGACATAGTAACTGGTCAATGTCAATGCAAATCTCATATAATCGGTAGACAGTGCGATCAATGTCAGGTGAGTTTTTTTTTCTCTTCTTTCTTTCTTGCCTTCTTTTTTTTTTCTTTTTTTTTTTTTCTCTAAAGAAACATAAGTTTAGAAACTACAACTTGTTTCATAAGATCCATTTATATCGGCTTGAAATTTCATCGCAGACAGATTATTGGGGCTTGACAACAGGAGCAGGATGTGTCCCATGCAATTGCGATCCCATTGGGTCTTTCAATTCTTCCTGCCAACAAAATACAGGATTATGTTATTGTAGATCTGGCGTGGCTAGCCCACGTTGCGATACTTGTCTTCCTGGTTATTACGGTTTCTCATCGAATGGATGTCAACGTGAGTTACATCTAAATATATTTAATTTTAATTTATTTATAATTATTATTAATTAATACCTTAATAATTCGTATATCTAATAATAATTTAAAGACACATTATGCAACGTTATATTACGATCATTCTAATATTAATTTTATTTTAATGACAAAGGATGCGATACCTGTGTGAGACCAGGACATATTTGTGATCCCGACACAGGACGTTGTGTATGCCCAAGCTTGACCTACGGTGAACACTGTGATCGATGTAGACCAGGTTCGTGGAACCTGATTCCAGGAATTGGCTGCAAGCCATGCGCTTGCACTTTAGGCTCGATGAGATCTCAGTGCGATCATCGAGGCCAATGCGTTTGCAGGATCGGCTACGATGGCCTTAGATGCGAGAAATGTGCTAAAGGTTATTATGGTTATCCAAGATGTCGTCCCTGTGGATGCAACGCTGCTGGAATTCTCTCATGTGATGGAGAGATCTGCGATTGCGATGAAAATGGACAGTGCCCGTGCAAGGTGCATTTTCATATAGAAATATTTTATCATGATAATTATACGATTATAAAAGAAAATAATTAAGTTGAGAAAAAATTTATTCTAATTTTATCTTCAATTCGATATAATTCTTTTATAATTCGTATTTTTTAAATTAGGAAAATGCCGTTGGCAGACAATGTAATCGATGCAAGAATGGTACCTTTGGCCTGGCAAAAGATAATCCAAAAGGTTGTACCGAATGCTTTTGCTTTGGTAGAAGCAAACATTGTCAACAGGCTGGTTTCAGCTGGGGATTGAGAAGAATTAAAAAACCTAGAACACTTTTTATTAACGAATCGGTCAACGATATTATGGTGAGTCAAAAAACAATTATTGTAATACTATCATTAGAATTAATTATACATATATATATATATATATAAAAATATATATATATATATATATATATATATATATTCGTACGTATTCATTTTAGATCACTGATTCGGGCTCGACTTTTGTTTATTCGAATAATGAATTAGATGTCATGAATGGTTTGACAATAATTCCTAATACCGAAGGAGATGTTATACTTCCAGCTAATTTGTATTATAATTATTATCTTTATTGGAAACTTCCGGAAACGTTTTTACGCGACAAGGTAATGTTTGATGACGATTTTGTTAAAAAAAAGGAAAAGGAGAAAAAATTCTATGACTTTTCGTTTGAAATTCAAGGTTGCATCTTACGGTGGATTATTACGTTTTGCTACGTCAACTGATGGTGGTATATCATTGAGGTCGGCACATAAATATCCACTTGTACAACTACAAGGAAACGATAGGATCATCCTAGAATATTATTTGCACTCGCCTGTTAAAGATAATCGCTATGAAGTCAGGTATAACGATAATGATCTATTCAATGTGATAAGAAACTTCAAAAGACGGTACATTCCTTTGTAGATTTCATGAGTCCTTATGGCAATTACACGGCAGACCAGATTACAAAGTTACCAGAGAGGTTTTGATGGTCGCTTTACAGAATGTGCAACATATCTTCATAAAAGCAACAGACAATGCGGACTTCACTAAGACGACGTAAGCTAACGATACCATTTGACATGTCCAATGTAAAATATTAAATTCATTCTAATCATATAAAATACAATATTATTTTTATTAGCCTTCTGGAAGCATCCTTGGAAGCTGCAGTGTTAACTCACACTCATTCTCCACCATTGGCAAGTGGCGTTGAGATTTGTCAGTGTCCTCCGGAATATAACGGCACATCTTGCCAAGATCCAAGTATAGGCTTCTATAGATCGTATGAAAACACAACCGTCACGTCTACTATAGTAATCGATCTTGTCGGACAAGCTAGACGTTGTCAGTGCAGCGGTAGATCAGAGATATGTGACAGAGAGACGGGATATTGTCAAGTGAGTGACTAAGATATTCTCTAACTGCTTGTCTTACATAACGAACCGTGTAATCGTAAACACGTACATACATATATACATACATATATAATTGTATGTATGTGTATGTATATGTGTATATGCCTATAAAGGTATAAACCTGGATAATATTTCATGGATATCTATGTTCTTCTCCGTAGAATTGCAGAGGCAACACTATCGGTCCAAGATGTGAGATTTGTGCGGATAGCTTTTATGGACATCCTGAAATCGGTGGTTGCAAACCTTGTCCCTGTCCACAGATTGATAAAAGATTTTCAAGTAGCTGTGTCGTTCGTGCTGATAGTGAACCAATTTGTCATTGCAAACCTGGTTGGTGATTTATTATTTAAATATGATTTAACAGTTTAATAAAAGAAATTTATATAAATTTACATAGATAAAAGAGAATAAAGGATAAATCATCAATGACAATAATCAACAATTCTTTTTCAATCGATCAAAAACAGGTTACACAGGTAGAATGTGCGAACGATGTACTCACAATTATTATGGTTTCCCTAATCTACCCGGTGGCCAATGCATACCATGTAATTGCAATCTAGCAGGTAGTACCAGCGACAAATGCGATGAAAAGACAGGACAATGCAATTGTAGACAAGGTTCAACTGGAAGAGATTGTTCTCAATGTACAGCTTATCGTCACGTTTACATCGATAACGTTTGCACGTGTAAGTGATACTAGATTAATAAATATTTAATTTAACTTCTCATCGACATTTGTCTGATTAAACTGATGTTAATGATTTTCAGCATGTGACGACAATTGTACCGGACTTTTATTGGGCGACGTCGATGCAATGATGGAAGAACTTGCAACTGGAACGTCTCACATCGCTGATGGTTATGTACCTCCTCCCTGGGAGGAACTAACTTACGTCGAATCTAATACCAGTCTTCTACTAGACCAGTTGAAGCTGCAAAGCCAGCTTAAGCAGAGAATGAAGAACGTGCCCTGGTACGAATACAAAAAGCTCATGAAAAATGCTGAAACTTTGTTAAGAAATGTACGTACTTAAACTGATCAATGTTTTAAAATGTGAGAAACATTCTTCCTTAATTAGATCAATTCATGATAGTGTATATATGATTGAAAGAGAGAGAATTTTTTCTTTTTGTGTTTTTTTTTTCTTCTTTTTTTCTTTCTTTTGTTTTTCTTTCTTTCTTCTTTTTTTCTTTCATTCACAATAGGAATTTTCTTTATATATATTCTCGTTGATATCAGAAAGGAGATCTTTCGTTTCTTTACAGGCAAACGATCATGCTAATCGTGGCACTTTGTGGAAGAACAAGTCGAACGATCTGAAAAATAATATTTTCAGTACACAAATTGAGATTAGAAATCTTCACGAACGTATCGAAGGTATCGTATTTTTTAATTCTTTTTTTGTTTTTTTTTTTTTTTTTTTGTGGAAGGATTATAAGGGTAAGAAGTTTGATTTTTTCGATTAGTTGATATATTTTATCGTTCTTTCAGACATTATCTCGCGATTAAATTCTTATGGCGATGATAACAAAAGGGTTGAAATCAAAAAAGTGTTGGAAATGGCAAAGACGATATTGCACGATCTGAAGAATGTAAATTTACCAAAAAAAACTGTGAAAATTCAAGAATTTATCAAGTAAGCGATTGCAATTCTTTTTTTACAATTATTACTTATTAATTTTCTCAAAGTATAAAAAGATAAATTTTAATTTGATAAATAGAAATACCGAGGATTATATCGAATGGTTAAATTCAGTCTGCAATTCAACGGAACCAATAATGATAGCTCAAGAAGACACTGATGATTTCACTTTGAAATTGAACGATATGAAAAAGATCTTGGAAGAAACAATGGAGATTTTATTTACTTACGACGGTCTTTATAAAAATATTAATGAAACATACGTGGAATTTGAAAATGATTGTAATCGAATCAATGCGTTCGCAAAAGAGATCGACGCGATAAACGATAAAATACAATTGATCGACGAAGCAAAAGGATTCATTATCGACGCACAGAATGATCTTCAAGTTAGTATGAATTGAGAATTTAAATTAATTCAAGTTTAAACGAGCAAATATTGCAATGTGTATTTTTTTTTTTTTTTTTTAGGATCTTCCAGAACTGAAAAAGAAATTGTCCTTTTGGACCGATAAATTATATGAGAAAGAAGAAATATTGTACAGATTAAATTACGAATATAATGATAAATACGTCGTTCCAGCGATCGAACATGCGAAGAATTTGTCAAATTATGTGGACGATTATGTTAGGTAAGAAAATCATTCTTTATTTTTTTGTTTTTATTATTTTTTTATTTTTTTTTATTTTTCTATAAGAGCTCCATTTTCATAATACTCGCGTTACTCTAAATGTGAATCAACTCTTAACTGATAAGATCGAATAATTTTTAAACTCTTACGTGCGAAATCGATTGAAATATTTTTAATATTATAGTAATAGCAATATATACAAATGATTTTCGTCTTATCGGTAAAGAGTTCATTATTTTCGAACGATATATTTTATACTACTTTGTGTAATCGATGCTCGATGACTTGATAAAGTGCAACTCGCGTTTCTGCCAAGCAGTCTGTTTTCGGAGACACGCGACATAGCGGCTAGCCCGCTGAAGGCGAGTCAAGCTTACAAGAACATCGTTGATAGCTTGACAAGAGCTAATGATACTGCATTAATGGCAAAAGAGACAACAGAAAATATAAATACTCAGGTAACAACGTTCCAAATATTTATTTAATTATATTTATTAAAATTGAACGATATATTTCATTATTCATATCTTATATCATAATATATTATTAATCTTTTATCTAATAATAATATTATATATTATTTTTTTTAAAGAAATTAACAAAATAAAATTTACATAATTGTAATAAAAAGTTTTTATCATTTTATTTTTATGGTTACGTTCTTATCACCGAAAAGAAAAGGAAAAATAAAAAAAAAAAATTTTTTTTAATTATTTAAAAAATCGATTTTATTATAACGATATTATTGCAATATTTAAATAAATAAAGGATAAATTGCACTTTAAAATGGTAGTGGTTTCAAGTCTCTACGACTTTTCGTTCCGGAGATATCATCTCCGAAAGATTTTCATTCATAATTCGTACAGTACAGCTGTTCGTAGTAATAGTATAGTAATAGTAATTCGGTCAGCTGAGATGCGTAAATTCTTGGAATTTATATAGGTTAGTGTGTCAGCGGGTTAATTTGAATGAAATTATATAGGTCAGTGTGTCAATGTAAATATCTCCAGAACTAAAAATCGTAGAGACTCGATTAAAATACCGTTTTAAAGGTCAAAATTTTCTCTATTTTTTCAGCCTATTGTTAATAATTAATCAACAATTTGTTATAAACAATTTATTATAAACAAATTCTTAGTTCTAAACTAAATTCATTTTTTGTCAAAAAATTCAATGATACATGATTTTCAATTATTTTAATTATTTCAAAATGAAATTAGTTATTAATAAACGAGTTTTGTAAAATTATTGTCGAGTGTCACTCGACAATCATTGAACTCCGTAGATTTAACTAATCCGTAGATTTATTTTTTTCTCTTCGCTCATTGTATGATTTAATAATTAATCATACTATGAATGTAACATTGTCTAACGCATGAAATAATACAAAATTGTTTTATATAGATTTTTCCAAACGGAAAAGAATCGATATCTATGTTGGACAATTCGATAGATGTTTTACGTGGTTCAATTGAACAATTAAAAAAAACCAATGATATGAAGGAATCCGTCGAAGATTCGTCGAATAAAACGGAATTACAGGAAGCTGCTGTGGAACTTTTAAAAAATACTTTAAACAATACTGGTATACGTGATAATAAAATAAATGTAAAATTGAGAGAAGTGCAGAGTGAAAGCAAAGCGTGTAAGTAAATGCATGTAAATATTAAATAAAAATATTTTTACTTACATAAAATTAATTTTTTTTTTCTTTATAACTTTCAGTGGAAGAAAAATTAGAAAAAGTTATGCAGGATAACAATGAAGTTTCGGAGTCAGTGAACGACATGCAAAGATTAATCGACGATTACAAAAAAGAAATTTCCGATAGATTGCAACCAAAATTCCAAGATCTTAAGAGAGAAGGAGATTCGAAGATCAGTTTGGCTAGTGAAAAATGTAAAAAAGTTAAAAATAATTAATCAACTTTAATTCTTAATGAACTATATCATCAATTTTTTTTTTTTCTTTTTTTTTCAGTATCAGAGGCTTTAAGTAACATCAAAAAAGCAGATGCAAAGCTAATAAGTTTATCAAATGCTGCGGTGAAACGTAAAAGTGTTTTCGACAAATGGAATGATACGTTAACGTCCAAGCTACAAAATCTAAAAGACAAGATTGCCGAGGCTAGAAATACCGCTGAAGGAGTAATAATCATTTAAGAAAAATCAAATGTTCTTTATTTTCTAATTGTTTTTTTATCTAATCTAATTTTTTGATCTTTTAGATTCGAATTTCGGTAAAATCGGTAGAAGACAAAAAATGTGTTAGATCTTATAGATTAACAACTCTTCAACCATCCTCGATGACAAATATAGTAATGACTTTTGCTATTCCCGATAATCGGAAAGATGGATCTTTACTTTATTTACCAAGCAGTATCAACGTACGTTCTTTTTAATCTAAATGTTTTATCAATTTTTATGCTCCAAATGACAATGTTATTTTTTCTGTTATTATTTTATAGGACGATTTTATAGCTTTAGAAATGATCGATAGGAAAGTGAAATTTTTATGGAATGTAGGAGGAGGTACAGGGATTTTAACACATCCTGAAATCATCGAAAGTGGTAAACTCAAAGAAGATAGATTTTGGTATCGAATCGAAGCCGAAAGGTAGATAAATATAATATATCTTTACATTTACCTTATCTAATTCACTACTCTCTTTTTTAATTTTTACAGAATACGAAACGTCGGTAAGCTCAGTGTTCGAAAACAATCATCAACAACTGGAAGGTATCTTCCTGTGATGAATTCAACGAATCCAGAATATGGACGATTCGATATCATCAGTATGGATCGTGTCTGGTTAGGAGGCATACCAGAATCTCAAAGAAGACCTGCTGAAGTCACTGCTGTTAATGGTTTACCTGCTTGTGTTCATCAGGTCATTCTCGATGGTAAACCTATTGGTTTGTGGAATTTTATTACAACTGCACCAGATATGGCCTGTGAAGCTTGCATGGAAGGGTAATTATTAGAAATAAATGACTTTTGAAATTGTTTATTAATGATGAATATTTTCTTATTAATTTATTCTTTTATGAAATAGAACTGAGGATATCAGGGATGACATAGCTTATAGCTTTAATGGTGAAGGCTATGCTGTTAGAAATAAAGTATCATCTGGTCCTTACAACAAATATACGTTTGGTGTCTCTATCAGTTTCCGTACATATGATGAAAATGCTTTAATCTTCTTAGCAATTAATGAAGATAACGTACGTATATTTTAAAATATATATATACATATATATATATATATATGTGTATACTTACAGAGTCCCAGAAATGAAATTTGTTTTCTACTTATTTAAATTTGTTTGCACCCAATCGATAGAACCAACATATCATGATATTTCTTCGAGAAGGAAGAGTCATTCTTCACATTGGCTATGGTGGTAACGTTAGCATGGAAATGTCCTCCACTTACAAATACAATAATGGTAATTGGACAACGGTAGATGCCTTTAGACAATATCTATTACGTAAAAGTATCGAGAAATGTAGTTTAAACGTCGGTGAAGAAAATGATAAGAAGATGGGAGCACCAACACCTCAGCCTAAAAAAGAAGATATTCCAGATTTAGCAAAAGCTAAATATTACTTCGGTGGTGTACCACCCAGTTTTAGAGCTGAAAATATAATACTACCATCTCAAGTATCATTTCTTGGTTGTATGTCTAATATTATTATACAAGAAGGCTATGATCCTATGGTTGAACAGTATTATGGTATTGAACCAACTTGCGCGAACAAGGTTATTATTTGAAAAAATTAATTTTATTCTAATTAGTTAATTTATTATTATTATTATAGTTATGAATTATAATTAAATTTTAGCCATTAAGAATAGTAGGATTTTATGGAAATGGTTATCTCGAGCATTCCTCTTATACTTTGCGTAAAATAAGTTCGTCTATGAGTTTCTCATTTAGAACTTTACAAGAAGATACTTTATTATTGTTATCCACGTTCCAAGGTCAAGAAGAAAGATTATACAATCCACAAGACATTAATGAGGATATAACGGTAATAATAATTTTTTGATCATTTTTTTATTCGACAAATTTTTTTTCCCGTGAATCTATTCACTCCGTTAATGTGTATTTGTTATTTTTTTTTCTTTTTTTCTTTTTCTCTTTTTAGAGAGAAAATTATTATTCCGTCTGTGTGATGAAAGGGCAAGTTGAAGTTCGCTTAAATGCTGGCAAAGGAGAACTCGTTCTTAGATCTAATAATACTTTCAATGATGGAAGATATCATACTGTTACGATTATTAAAAGAAGAAAGGAAGTTGAGTTGAGGATCGATGATGCTTACCAAAACACTGGAAGATTACCTAGCAGTGCAGCTATTAAAGGGCCTGATTCTAATGGTGGCCTCTTCTTTGGTGGACTTCCAGCTTTGATTAATAATACAAAAATGGTGGCTACTAAAATTCCTCTTTATGGTGCAATTAAAGATGCTATCTTCAATGATGAGTAAGTTCTGAAAAAAAAAAAGAAAAAAAAAAAAAAGAATTGAAATTTATATATATAGAAAATTTTATAAAACAAAATATGTTATAAAATTCTTATTAAATAATTTTGTCAATTTAGAATTCTAAGATTCGACGAAGTCACGTCGTTCGATCATGCACTGATTGGTCGACCAGGACCTAGTATGGGTAAAGATCTTCCTAATTACACACCTTCTGCCTCATTGTCAAGGGGAATGTCTACTCAGCCTGAGGGTTGTCAAAAGGTTCCATATTATTCTTTGGAACCGGGAGCATTAAAATTTGGTGACAAATCGCACAGCCATACTCAGCTCTATTTGAACTTCAAAAAATTTTGGGAAAAAAAATATACCATTGAATTTGACTTTAGGACTTATTATCCCAATGGTCTATTATTTATTACACCGGTAAAGTGATTAAAAGAATGAAATAAATAATAAATTGTGAAATATTTTTTAAGAAATACATTTGAACATATGTCTTTATTTTTTTTTTTTTTTTTTTTTTTTTTGTTAATATATATAGGGACTTAGATTAAAGCATTATTTGATGATCGTGATTAGAGATGGACAACTTTTGCTTCTTGTCAAATGCAAACAAAAAAAGGAGATCTTATTTAAGACACCATTCAATGATGGAAATTGGCATCACGTTGTATTGAGCCACGATGAAAGAAGGCTGACACTTGTTGTGGATACACAAACACCTCGTACAATCAAAGTACCTAAAAAGATTGGATTAGCTCCGATGATGTATATTGGTGGATTACCAGAAAGTGGTACTCCATTACCAGAACAAATTGTGGTGAAATTGGAGACTCTTAAAGGATGTATAAGAGGCTTAAGAGTTAATGGAAATATCTATGACATGGTCGGTTCTACCAGTCGAGCTTATAATGTTGGTCAATGTTTTCCTAGTGTAGAAAGTGGAGCTTATTTTCAAGATGAAGCTTACGCAATTTATAGTAAGTAAATTTTCAATTCACGTTTAATAGAGAATCATGAACGTATAAGTTGTAAAAATATTTTATCTCTTTTCTCAGAAAGAAATTTTGAATTGGGAGCAGTATTAGAACTTCAGCTAGAATTTAGAACTTCAGAATTATCAGGAGTTTTACTTTCTATAACTGCTCCTAGTGGCTCTCCATCCTTATCCTTGGAATTGAATAATGGCAAAGTGATCATGTCTGGTGATTTGGGAGATAGTAATCCATTATACGTGGAACAACGATTTCCTAGTCCATATGCTATTTGTGACAATCGTTGGCATCGTATTCAAGCTGTTTATAACGATGAAGAATTAGCATTAAAGGTTGACGATCTGGATCAAAAATATGGATTGCCTACTAATGTTAATTATCATTTCATGGAATCCACGACTTTAGGTCCTCTTTATATCGGTGGTTTACCAGGTAGTCAAAAATATAATTTTATCAATGTCATTGAATTACTCCAAAAATTTTTAATACATATGTATATATATATATATATATATATTAATATTTTTAGCTTCAGCTATGAAAGGAACGTTACTCACGCGAGATCATTTCAATGGATGCATAAGAAACGTAATGATAGGAGGAGAGAGACGAGATTGGACAGATATGGCTGAGCTACATAATATACATTTGAGTTCTTGCCCGATACAATGATGTAACATGTATTAGATGCAAATTCGAAGTGCATCGAATCAATCCAAAGACTGTTACGAGGCAGACGCGCAACGTAGTGACGAATGTTCTTATGAATCCTTTGATAAATTAATCGTTAAATACAGAGGTAAGTGCCATAACGCGACAAAGGGATTAATAATCCTTAAGACGTAAGACTTAGCGAAGCCAAAAGATGCTAAAATATAAAATCTATTAAGCTCTAAAGTTAGTAGGAAACTTGATATCAGTCTGCGTTTAGAAATCATGGCACAAAAGCTCGTCACACAATATCCACAATTGTGTAAACAATAATTTCAAGGAAAAAAAAAATATATATATATATATGTAATTAAACAAATCACTGCCCAGTGTTGGACAATATTTAATTTAATTAACGATTAAATGTTTACTTATATTAATCATTGATGTTTTAAACGTTTACACGTTAAAGAATTAATCGATAAACATATAAATTATTTGAATCATTTTATTCTACGTACGATTATAAAATTATGTCGAGCGTTACTTGACACAAGTTGTGTAAAATTAATCTCTATTGTCACTTGACGATCATTGACACACTTTTACGTCTTATCGTAGAATCGTCCATTAACGAGCTTCTTTGAAGACCATTAAATTTTTTTTAATGTTTTATCATACAAAGCAGAATCACTGACTAACTACTCCGTATATATATATATATATAGAATCACTTATCGTTTTAATTAACTTTTTAAATGTTAATAAGAAAATAAGAAAAATATATAATAAAGCAAATATTTATTTCATGGCAATGAAAACTTAAATTGTTAATCATTAATACAAGTAATGATTAAATTACCAATTTAATCTTTAATTGCAATTGATAATTTGAATATTTTCAATGTAATCATTAATCAATAATTGAATTAAATAATACAGAACACTGCCACTGCCATATAGAATAATTACAAATACATTTATAGGATAGACACATTGTAAATCAGTATTTAAAGCTATTATTTATTACCAATGATTTATACATACATGTAATTATGATTTCAATTGAGCATACTCAATGCACTCGAGGATTACTATTAATTGATAGCATTTAAAAATAAGTAGAATTAACTAAATAAACTGTTTTATACTTTTATGGTGGTATTAACGTAACAATTGAATTTAATACTTAAGTAAAATAAGATGCGCAATTTAAAAAAAAAAAAAGAAAAAAAATATTCAGATAATATATCCAATGCAAAGGCTATATTTATCATATCAACAAAAAATTAAACCTTTGTAAAAACAACAGTACCGTAAAAAAAAAAAGAACAAAGTGTCCTTCCTTTGTGAAATTATATACAATTAGAAATGAAAAGAATATTTGGAAAATATTTTAATATTTGTAAGATACCACCTTTATCATTCGTATAGTCATTGAATTGTAATATATTATACATATATATAAAAGAATTAACAATGATACTCTATTATATAAAAAAAAAAAAATAAAAAAAAAAAATAAATAAAAATACACAATGTCAAAATATATTTATCCGAACGTTTAATCAACCTTTTATAATCCATTAATAAATGGCATACAGTGAAGTTCTTTTTTTATACAACTAAAATTAAATGCAATTGTAAGAAACCATTATTGAAAATGATTTTTAGATTTAATTATTTTTTTAAAATGCTCTATTAAATTCTTGAACATTGTAATTTTAGAATCTTTTGAAGAATTAGAAGTACTACATGTTTTTTTTTTTTTTTTTTTTTTTTTTGTAAAGAAAAGTAATTGTTTTTTTCCATGGGCTTACAATGAAATATTCGATATTCAAAATAATACGCGTATGAAATAAGATTTTATCCTGATTAAAAAAAAAAAAAAAAAAAGAAAACACAAGAAACCATTCACGAATAAATCTTCGTGGAAACTTACTGATGGTCACAGAATGCTCTTCTATTAATTAAATAAACAATCAATCATTCGTATCTTTCATCCACGACATGATCGAGCGATCGAAGGGACTTAAATAGTAAGTGAATTTTTTTTCTAAAAGCTCCAAAACACTCGTCCACGATTTAGATCAAAATTGAGGATGAATGATTTAAAGATAACTGATTGAAAATAAAATAGATCGACATCGAAATGTTCTAAAACAAAAATAAAAATAAAAGAAAAGAAAAAGAAAAAAATATAATCGATATAATGAAGAAACTATTGAAAATATGTGAAAATATACATATTATATAATATAGGAAAATATACATATCTTAAGTCTTTGCTGTTGGTCCACGATATTCTTCCTTAAGATGATGAAGAGAATAAGAAACTAGAAATGAATTTCTTATTCCAGTTGAAATTTCCATGTGTGGCTAAAACAATCCTAATTCTTCATGACGATTCTTTTGTCCTTTTTATTTATCCCATGCAATAATCGATTTCTCTTTAGTCTGGTGTATCATTCCATTGGTGTCTTCTAAAAACACAAAAAAATTATTAATATCATCGTTATATTGAGAAATTACTGAAAATATTTGATATGTTAGATAATTATCTTAACTACGTAGTTGTTGTACGTCCTGGAAGAAGAGAACGTGCTTCGATGTTAACTCGTCGAGATACAAAGGAGAACTAACTGGGCTCGATGATAACATAATCGTTCAAAGTCAAATCAAGAGTTTATTTTTGTTGACATTACACATAGATCGACGATCGCTAGTTAATGATTTGGTATTATTGGAATTTTAAATAAAGATTATTTTTTGGTTTATCGCGTATTTTACTACGAGCTTTGTAACGTTTAATCGAATATATTATTGTTTATATATTAATTTAATGTATTTCGATTATATTATGTATCGTTTAAATAATTATAAAATTAATGAAAATATTAATTTTCAAGTTGTCACGTTTAAAAAAGAAAGATTTTTATGTCGTTGTTATTATATTATAATAGTAAAATTATTTGTAATAATAATACAAAATGTATTATTATTTTTACGGAGGAAGTTACAAAAATAATGACATATATATTTTCAAATTTTTGTAAAATATTTAATATTTATGCATAATAATTATTCACTAAAAAACTGTTCTCGAGAAAGAATAGCATTTTTGATAAGAAAAATGTTTTCATCTAACAAAATAAATCTTTTTCAATAATTCAAAATATCATTTTCTCATTTCAAACTATCATCTTTAAGATTGTGATTTTGTCGATCAAATCGATCTACATTAAAAATATAATTTATTTAATTTCCGAGAAGAAGTTATAAACGTTTAGATGTTTAAAATATTCTATGGACTCTCAAATATAACATAAAATCGTAAAAGTTAATACTTAATACTTAATACTTAATAATTGAGAAATAAATTATTAATATCTACCATATATATATATATATATTTAATATATCTATATATAGGACTGTCTATAATCAGCCGTCATATTGTCACAAAAATGCTTGATTTGTAATAGGAGCACATGACAATAGTGGAGTTCGTTGAATAAAACGCGCGAAAATATCGTTCAAAGAGAAACGCTAGATGACGCCATGGGTAGTAAAAAAAATACATTTTTTAATCATTTAGTACCGATCCTAACGCTAGATGGTGTTAAGAATATTACAAAGAAAGCTGCCTTTACTAATATATATGTATATACTTAATTATTAAACGTTTTGAATAAATTTTTATAATCTATAATTAAATCAGAAAAACCATAAAATTAATATTTAAATGTTCATAATTTATATTTAGGAAAAATATAATTAATATTATCAATGAGTAATATACTTATATTTAATACGCTATTTAATTAATACGTCACTGAAGTATTAATTGAAAAATTATTGATTACAAAGGATACTTTATAAACATTTTTGATTTTATATCATTTCAAAGTCTATAGAAGTTTTGTAATATCTAAATATTTATATTTTATAAATAGAAAAATAATAATTATTAAATATACAATATATTTAGGTGGTATTATTTATATATTAGATTGTAATATCTATAAAGAAGTTGTCATTTTCTGCTCGATGATGTTATATCTATGAATGAAATATTACATATTTTGTATATTTTTATTTTTTTTCTTATAACACATATTATTATTTGAAAATATAATTAATATGAATTATAATTAATTTATTCTATCTGTTAAAAAAATAAGGTTATTTTCTGCATGGAGTGAGCACTTTTATAATTGAAATAATCTATATATATAATACAAAGCTCACTTCAGAATGACAGCGTCTTTCAGTTCCATTGCGTACTAACGAAATCAAGCCGTCAAAGTCAAAATGGCTGAGCTGATAGGAATACCATTGAAGAAACCGTCCGACGTAGATATTATTAAACCATTAACAAACGTTATTAAATCGACATACAGCGGTGGAAATAATCAAAAGGATTATACCGAAGCAATTCACGATTTAAGTGTATTAAGGAACAACGCATTATGGCGAGCTTTCGAGAAATACGAGAGTTCGTTGGAGGTTATTTACAAGTATGACTCATTCAATTTAATTATTACTCTGATTATATCGTTTCATGCAATATTGATAAAGAGAATCAAAATACAATAATTATAATAACAATATACGAATTATCTTTCTAATATTATATTCTATATTTATTATTATTAAAATAAATTATAAAACTAACAATGTATCTCTGTTCAAAGCTGTTTAATAAAAATATACATATTTTTCAATATATTTATATAAATTAATTGTTTGCAATATAAATTGTCATTTGAAATGATCATTTAAAATTATAATGCAATTTTATAATATTATGATTTATAGATTATTTTGTATATGCGTTAATAGATTTATTACATATGAAAATTGCATGGGCACCATTAATCATTATTTTCAATTAATCATTTTTAAAATAATATACTAGTACATATATTGTATATAGAATATTTATATACAAAGAAATACATGATACTTTTTATTTTTATTTTTTTTTTGTTTAGTTATTATGACCAACTATGTGCTTTAGAAGGGAAGATACCTGCACACGAATTACAAATACCATTTAAGTGGAAAGATGCCTTTGATCGTACTATTTTTGGTGGAAAATTAAGTTTAAGTAAGTATTATTAAATTATTCTTTTTACTTGTCTCTTATTTTTTATATAATAGATATGAAAGTTACCACTTAAGTTATAGATAAGATAAGATACTTTAATTTTAATTATCATTGTATCTTTCGAGCTAACATACATATGCACAAAAAATTTAATAAAATATTATAATATATATATATAAAGTTGGCAAAATTTTTATATTTAATTAATTTAGCAGAGATCTGATCAAAATTAAATGAAATTATTTTATATATCATTTATTCTTACAATAAAAATTCACGTAATATATTATTGTTTATAAATGTGCTTATTGTTTATAGCAATTAGCACTTTGGCATATGAAAAGGTTTGTGTACTCTTCAACATTGCTGCATTACAAAGCTCTGTTGCTGTAACTCAATCTTTGGAAAGCGATGAAGGATTAAAACTGGCTGCTAAATTGTTTCAAGTTAGTTTTTTTCTATATCTACAATTAATTATTAAGATATATACATATATATGTATATATATATGATTTAGTTTAATTTATTTATATGTTATCTATCATTAAATTAACAATAATTTTAGCAATCTGCCGGTATATTTAATTTTTTAAAAGGAAATGTAATGATGGCTATTCAACAAGAGCCAACTCCTGACATTAGTCCGGAAACATTAGGTGCATTATCCTCATTGATGTTAGCTCAAGCTCAAGAAATTTTTGTCCATAAAGCAATTCATGATTCTATGAAAGATGGCATTGTTGCAAAATTAGCTGCACAAGCTGAAGAATTATATGCTGATGCCTTAAAGTTATTCCAGAAAGAAATTTTCCGTGCATTTTGGGATAAAGAATGGATTCCATTGGTAAATACTTTATTTATTTAACATACTAATATTTTTATATTAGATAATTAATTTATATTAGACAATTCTTTTTTTTTCACATTTTATTATTCTAGATCGCAGGCAAGCAAGCTGGCTATCGTGCTATGATGGAATTTTATCAGTCGCTTGTATGTAAAAATAATAAAAATATAGGAGAAGAAATTGCAAGATTAGAGGTAAATTTTATAACCACTATATAATTTAATATATTTCATCATTAACAAAAATATATATGTATATATATATATATATATATTTTTAGCACGCTGTGGAATTATTTAAAGCTGCTCAACAACGATCTAACAAGCCTAATTTATTCCAAGATTATGCTAACAAAGCACAAAGGAATTTAACTGAAGTTAAAAAGGATAATGATTTTATCTATCATGAAAGAATTCCAGATGTTAAGAGTTTAGAACCAGTTGGAAAGGCTAATGTTGCAAAATTACTTCCATTGCCTGAAAGATTCAGTTCAAATTTTAAAGGTTTCATTTATTTCTTTTGTATTATCTATTATTATATTACGTTAATATTTATATTGATTTCATATATTAAAAATATTTTATATTTATAGATCTCTTTACGGAATTATTGCCAGTTGGTGTGCATCAAGCTTTATCGTCTTATGAAGTTCGCCGCAATGAACTTGTTAATGCAGAAATATCTAAACTACGAGAAATGACACAAGTTCTTAATAGGTACAATTATTACAATATAGAAAGATATATATTATTAAAAGATTATTATATTAGGATACTATTATAAAATAAAATATTTTTCATTTCACAGTGTGTTAGCAAATTTAAATTTACCAGCAGCCATTGAGGACACAAGTGGTACCGAATTACCACAATCATTGTTAGAAAAAGCAAATTATGTACGAGAAGGTGGTGGTAAGGCAATTTTGGAGGCATCAATGAAAGAACTTCCAGAATTATTACAACGAAATCAGGAATTATTAGATGAAGTAAATATGAAATTTTATTATATTTTAACACAATTATTTAATTGCTTATCAATTTTATTTTTACTTTTGATATAGTGTGAACGAATGCTTCAAGAAGAACGTGAATCTGATGATCAATTGAGAGAACAATTTAAAGAACGTTGGACAAGAATATCTAGTGCTCGATTAACAGAACAATTTATTGCCAATACACGTAAATATCGTGAAATTATTAATAATGCTGTTTCTGCAGATAAGGTAGTAATACTTTCTTAATATACATATATATATATATATAATAAAAATCTATAATAAAAATGTATTTTATACTGATGGAAATTTCTTTATTATCTTTATCAATTAGGAAGTTCGTAATAAATATGAAACTCATCGAGAAGGTATGGAAATCCTAAGTATGGATGAAAGTCAAATATCTATGGCTGTCCCTAATGGTTCAGCAGTACAAGAAAGTAATGTAGTGATGCAACTAAGAAAATTGATGGAAGATGTAATATCTTTGACTGTACAATTCAATTTATGTTTTTATTTATTATACATCAGATATAAATCAAATTTACTTTTAGGTAGAGACACTGAAAGCAGAACGTGATGTAATTGAAAGTGAATTAAAATCAGCTACAACAGATATGAAAACAACATTTTTAAGTGCTCTTGCCAAGGATGGAGTGATCGACGAACCAAATATATCCGTTGAAAATATTGGAAAATGTTATGGACCTTTGCAAAAAGAAGTACGAGAAAGTTTATCTCTTCAAGAAAAATTAATAGCTGATATTCAGGTATAATATTATGGATATATTACACTTTAAACAATATCTAATTTAATTAACGATTAATGTGCTAATTTCCATCATTGATTAACTATTTCATTGATTGCTGAATCATTGACGAACTCATCAAAAATATTGTTTTCATTGTACTTTTTTATTTTTTTTTATTATTAAGGAAAACAAGCGAAATAATTCTAATTTTTACAGAATGCTCATACAAAGTTCACTAATGAACAATCTGGTAGTGGTAGTTCAAGAGAAATTATGCTTTGTAAATTGGCCTCTGCATTTGATGCATTTAAAGAATTAAAGAGCCATTTGAATGAAGGAATCAAATTTTACAATGATTTAACGCAGGTAATATTAATTATTTTTTTATCATAAGTGTTTATCATCATTATTAACTAAAGCATCTTCAGATGTATAAAAGTGAAATGATCTTGTTTTCAGCTATTAGTCATTTTTCAAAATAAAATATCGGACTTCTGTTTTGCTCGTAAGACTGAGAAAGAAGAATTATTAAAAGATTTAACCACTAATTTAAGTCATACCGGTCCAGCCACAACGCCAAGTATTCCATCTCATCACGAAGGTAGAAGAATGATCAAATTTAAAAAGATTTCATTTTGCAATTTTATCTTTATTATAAAGTAACGAAAAAATTCCTTTTTTTTTTTTTCATGTACTTTACAGCAAGTTCGAGTCAAAAACAATCTAATCCAGAAAATCCGCAAATGCCAAATTTACCATACCCTATGCAACATCCAGGAACTATGCCTGTACCATATGGTGCAAATCCTATTGCTCCGTATCCAACTTATATGCCTCCACCTATGCCAGCAACATATAATCCATATGCAACGATGCCATATCCTGGACAAGGTATATAAAAAAATTTCAATGTATGAAATATTAATATTTATTTCCTTTTATATAATCAGGTTTTATCCTTTTTTGTTTTCCCGTTTTTAGGTGGTTATAATCAAGCATTACCTCCAGGTACTTATGGTGGTTATACTGGTTATGGTAATTATGCTACATTACCTCGATATGGTGGTTCAAATCCACCAGGACAAAATCCTTGGTGAATTAAAAGTCTATTTACAATGGATGCTGTGATGGGAATTAAAATTCATATTCTATATTGGATATATTGAAGCAACAGAGAAGTTATATATATAATTCTATTGTTTCTACAATTATGTTATTATTAATATTGAACGCAAGTGAAATATTTTATAATTAAGTTTTAAACAGATTAAATCTTCTTGTAATTAAATAATATTGTTAACATTAATAGAAAATTATTGTAAGTATTTTTCAATGTATATTAAATGATGCCTTGATTGTCGCTTCGTAAAATATTAATTGCTTATTTGCAAATCATAAATATATATTTTTTAATGTAATATAATTATTAGACAATTTAATTTTTAATAAATTTTTTGTCGAACAATAATTTCAAACTTTTTTTTTAATCCCAAACTCCTCTTTATGTAATATACTGCTTACGTGTAATTATTATTCAATTGATACTTTATTATTAAATAATAATTTTTTAGTTGTTCTTTTCATCGAAAGAAATTAATTTTGAGAGTGATTAAATATATTCATTAAGTGTTGTTTTATTCATTATTGAGATTATAAGTATTTAAATACAAAATTAATTACATATAATTAAAAAATTCTGTCGTAACTTCGATATTACATTGGCAAGTTTCATCTTTTTAAATGTGCCATATCCTTTAGAAATAACAAAAACGTGTGTCATATCCTTTATAGATAAGAAATTATTAAGAATATAAAAAAATAAGTATGATGTATGAGAGAGTATTGATAGAACTATATTCTTTATTACATTACAGAAAGAAACTCACTTGCCCCTCTGTTAGAATAGACTTTATTACATTTGTAAAAATTGTATTATTTTAAATGATTAATTATATTAATGAATGATTAAATAAATACTATAATGGGGATGCTCATATACACACACATATATATATATATATATATGTATGTATATAAAGATAAAAAGAAATAATATTCATATATAAAGAATATGGAAATATACACGACAAACTGATATCTCAAATATAATTTTTATAAAATATCTTTTAATTAGTTCATATATTTTAAATATTTATTGCTCGACATGTATTATTTTTTGCTGTAAAATAAAACTTATTCATATTATCAGATTAAAGATTTTCTTGTGTAATATATGACTACTTTAAACACAGCAAGCATCCACATTACTTACACAAAAATGTGATCATTTTGTGTAACTCTTTAGAAATATTATGATTTATATTAATAAATCAGCATAATATTATTATATGTCTAAAAACTAGCATACACACACACACATTTTTACAAGTTCTCTAAAGAACAATATTTGTGAGGGCAAATAAAAATATTATTGTTGTTACTTTTTTTTTTTATTACAGATGTACCTTAAATGCAACAATTTTGTTAAACCACGTTCATATTATCTAAAATTTACCTTCTTGTTTTACTTTTAACGGAACTAATAACGAATTCTTTTTTTTTTTTCTTTGACATCTACAACTAATTAATTAAACAGGGATTATATGTAATACGTAAAACATCGAATATTTTAATAGAACCGGTAGTCTCAATTATTCGCCTTAACTGATTTTTTAACCAATGAATGTATACATTACAAAAGATTGATTGTGTTGCTGGTCCTTAGACTTGCCTTGTTACAGGAATGTAGAACAGCACATTTAGAATATTATATGAAAATGGAACTACATATTGTTTTTCTTTAACATATATATGCATATTAATAAACTTGTCCTTTTCTTATGATAGTCACTTTCACTTTAGAAAATATTAAAACCAAATTGCATGATATTACTTTATAATTTTTTCAATAGAGACCACCTGTTTGTTCTTGATATACCTCAATTACATCATCATTTTCCATTTCCAACTGAAAATAATTAGTCGCCATCTAAGTTCTGATACATATTAAACTTTTTAATCATGATATATTTAAATGGAGACACACACTTGTTTTTTTTTGTTTTTTTCTTTAATTTTTATATATTAAATCGCATAAATTACCTGCTTTGGTGTTTCATCATCATTAATTCTTTTACCATCAAAAAGAAACCTCAGCGATGTCATAGGTACTCCCTAATTAAAATCAGAGAAGATTATAAAATTACTTTTATTGTATACTATAATATTCTAAAATATTAAATTGAAAATATTATATTGTCAATATTATATTATGGAACATACAAAATACAAATGTATATATATATATATATATATATATATATATATATATATACGTATATGTACATATATCTACACTATACCAAAGTAAACAGATGTATAAATTTGAAAGATTTCCTGAATAAAAGGAAAAAGGAAATATTTATGATTGAAATAAAATGAGAATAAAGAAGGTAAAAAAATAAAAAGGAAACACTAACCACACGATCACTGTACGATTTCTTAAGCTTGCCCATTTGGGTGGTCATCTTTACCCTAAAGTGAATTTCGTTGCTGTCCTAAAAGGATAATTCACGTAACATTGAATTTGCTATATATTACTAAAGTAAAAAAAAAAAATAGTATGGAATAATTCTCTATTCTTACATTTCCGACGACTTTTAGCTTGATGTATTCAGAATTCGCGTCTCCTGGGCCGGCTTCAGGTTTCTGTTCCTAATTCGCAAGGTTAGATCGGTTAAATTCGGCCAATCAATTAAATAATTCACAATGCATCATAAATATTACATTGTTAATGAAGAAATAAGAATTTCATTTATCGGGAGAGAGCTTACCTGATTCTCGGACATGGTAATTAATTAAGAGTATAATAATTCTTGACCACGCGCCAGAACAGTAACTAAACACAAGCACGCAATATGGCGGCGCGCTTTTGTCAGTTTCACAGCCTTCTCTACTTCAAAAATAAAAAATTTTTAACGTTTCGTATATTTACGTTCTAAAACGCATGTTATAAAGTGCACTGATTTTGCAAATAATATTTTTTCTCCCTATTTATATATAACGTACAATTTTCTAACTCAAATTTAGATTTTTAACAAATATCCAACTTCGGACTTATCGATAATTTCAATAATAAAATGATATGTAGAATAGAATATCAATTTAATATTAAATGAAAGTAATATTCAAGAATGCCTTCGAGAACCTTACCGTTGTAATCACTATAATCGAATATGTGTTCTCAAAAGCTTGACGCGCTAACGGATCATTTGTATTGTAAACTATTAAGCCTAATACACAAGTATTTTTATTGAGTGAGATATTAAATTATTTTAAACAAGTCTATCATTTATTCTACTGTTCTTAACGCGCGATAATTATATGTTTCATAATTAAAACTTTTCTTTTGTCTCTTATTAATTCAATTCATTTGAAATGCATAGAAGTTTCTTTTAATATTCGAAAGATATACACACAAACACATATATATATATATATATATATATATATATATATATATATATAAATTTAGATCGGTTAATAGTTAAAAATCTTATTTTACATTTTGATAAATAAAATTGGTGTTAACAATTGTCATAATGTTTCATAAAGTAAGAAATTATCAACAAACATTTTAATTATAAAACTATTCTTAAAATATATGATAACGTAATAATTATTTGTATATATTTATTTTATAGGTTATATCACGTGTGTGTATTCGAACAAATCAATTAAACAATACACGTTTTTTTTCACCAACAATCGAAACGAATACTCTAGAAAAAAGTATGTAAAATTATTATTTGTTTAACTTCTATTATGTATATTATATCTAACAATATATATAATATATAATGAATGAGATATGAAATATGATATTTAAATAAATTTTTATTAATATTATTTTAGCTATTAACCAAATAACATTACTCGGAAGGGTGGGTGGAGTTCCACAAGAACGTGGAACTGAGAAACATCCCGTAGTGATTTTTTCTGTGGCAACTCATTTCAATTATAAATATGAAAATGGTACGTATATATGAATTTTTATAAATTTAATTAGATAAAATAAAATGTGATATATATCACTTATTTAATACTATTTGCAGATGAATTCATTCAAAAGACTGATTGGCACAGGATATGTGTTTTTAAACCTAGTCTTAGACAAAATGTAATTAATTACTTGAAGAAAGGACAACGCGTTTTGGTAAATGGAAGATTAACTTATGGCGAATTCAAGGATGATGAAGGAAATATAAAATCATCAACGGCTATTATAGCAGATGATGTCATATTTTTCCATTAATAATAATAAAATAAAAGATCTTTTGTAATTTTAAAATATTTTAATTTGAAAAAAGAATTGCTCCTTTTTATAATTTTAGTTTTAAAGATTCATTGATGTATATACATTAATGAATTATGAAAATATATATGAGTTACAAGATAAAATGTATACATATAAAAAAGAGAGAAAATGATATGATAATGAAAGAAATATTTGAAATATAAATGAGTTTACATAATTAAATAACACTTTCATATTTTATGATATTGCATATATTCAATATAAGCAAATGACACATGCATATTTTAGAAATAAATGTTTGAAAGCAAAGATTAAAATCTTTCTTTTTATAATTCATTGTTGAGTGATATCTCTATCGAATTATATAGCCGAGACAGTGGCGATGTCGATTAATCGACCTTAACATTTAGAATGAAAAATTACGAGGTATCTAAAATGTTGCAATGTATAATTTATTGTTGGAAAGTGCTTAAACAATATCTAAGTCATTGCAGTATCCATGGTGTTAAATATCTTGTTTCTGAAAATAGTTTATATATCGAAAGGTAAAATAGTTATAAATAATTATTATAAAAAATTTATAATAATAACATTTTCTTTTGTACTTTGAAGATGTTTCTGGTTGTTCTTTTGTGTACTGAGTTGGTGGGGCTGTACTGTAGTGATCAAGGATAGTATCTACGAATATATTGAACACCCTGTTGATGTTACAACAGAAACATTATATATAAATTGGGAAATTCCATTTCCTTCAATTGCAATTTGCATTAAGCATTCTAACGAATTAAGAAACAAATACAATATTAAACAGTACGCTCATAAAAAAATAATAATTTTAATAATATATTATAATAATATTAATTTTTTGTTAAATATTCATCATGCTTTTTTTCTCATAATTATCACTTTATATAGATTACCATCAAAATTGGAATTTTCACCAACTGAGAAAATAGACGATATTACTGCTGAGGAATTATTGAAGGGCTATCAATCAGTATACTTATCGTTATTCTGCTTATTTACAGATTTAAAAGATATATATATATATATATATATATATATATATATATAATAATAATAATAATAATAATAATAATAATAATAATAATAATAATAATAATAATAATATTTTTATAGTTGCAGATACAATGTAAAGATATATTTGCCAATTGTAGCTGGAACAATATAAAATTTGATTGTTGCAATGAATTCAAACCATTGAATAAAACTGGAGCTGGTTATTGTTACGTGGTTAATTCTCAACATATCAAACCATACAATTCAAATATTAAATTTTGGATTAATCGTACTACTGAAAATGGAAATCTTGTGATTGATCTTATAGTAAATAAAAAATCAAGTAGTTATATTCCTCGATTTGTTAACGTTCGTATTTTCTTTCCCTTCTCATACTAATTATTTAAACGATCATATATACATTGTTATACAATATATAATTATATAATGTAGGTATATATATTGGATAATTTACAATTACCAAATGTAGCTACTTTGGGTGAATATATAGTTCCATCAATAAGAAAAGGACAATCTACTCGAATTGAATTTTTAATGATACCTATTTTTAATGAACAATTTGTATCATATTTTTCAATGAAACAAAGAAATTGTCGATTTAGTCATGAAACTGATAAAAACAGTATATTCGAATTTTATAGTAGCGATACCTGTGCTATCGAGGTAAAAAATTTTAATAAATATTATAAATATTATATATATTTATATCTTCATATTTTTATCATTCTTTTAATAGATATATATACAAAAAATGATTGAGTATTGTGGCTGTGTAAGTTTTTATTATCCTGTTCCTGCCAATGCAAGAATTTGTAATTTAAGGGAATTACAATGTTTGTCTGAAAATAAAAAAGATATTTTATTACTAAGAACTATAAAAGAAAGATGTTATCCTCAATGTGAAGAAAATACTATGAACATGTAAGAAGAAATCCTATCATATATATATTTTTTTTTGTTAAATGTAATGATTAATTATGATATAATTTTGTCTTTATCACAGATACCATAGCAAGCCCATTCAGTTCAGTCATATAGATGATGATGTAGCAAGAATAGATTTCATGTCAGTATCTCGCCCCTTCTTACAATATCGTCGATACGTCGTATACAGCCGTTTAGATTTGATAGGTAAATATGTTCAATTAGATCAAAATAATATTTAAAATGAATGAATTTTTCTGTCTGTCTCTTGCAACTGCAATCAACATTATTTGATCTTTTGACAGAGCAATATGTCATTCTGTAAGATATCATAAAAAGAATTTGTCAATAACATAAGAATATCTTATCAAAAAATATTTGGAAATTTAATGATAATATACAGTGTGTACGTAGATTAATGGAAAATTTCTTTACGAATAATCTTTAATGTAAATAATAATTAATATTTTATTCAGTTGCAGTAGGAAGTGCTCTTGGATTATTTATGGGTGCCAGTATTCTCAGCTTCTTTGAAATACCTTATTGGCTTTGTCTTCGTCGTGATCAAATCATATGAATATGATTGATTTATTTCGAATTTAAAGTATCAGATAAGCAAGAAAATTCGTGCCATTTTAATCAATAAAAATAGATAATATATGAACAATGACAAAATATGGAAATGCCACGAATTTTCTTGATTATCTGTTATAAGCATCTTTTTCTATAAATGAATTCAGATTAAATCAATACAATATAACACAATTTTAATTTAATCATAACTCTTATCAATAACTTGGTATAGTTAAGATCAATAAATCACTGTTAATAAAAAATATGAGTACTGTAATTATTAAAAAAAAGAAAAAATACTTTAACATATTGCATCGAATATTGTCTGTAGTATTCTTATCAGTAATTTAAATAGGAAATTATCATTCATATAGAGGTAAATATCTCATAGCAAAGTTTCAAAGTAAACAGGTAGACATATCATAAATGCATCATATTCGTGAAAGCTTTATTCAATGCTATATAAAAAGGAACATAAAAGGAATCTAAAGGAATTAGAGAGAGAAAGAGACTGCAGAGACTGCAGAAATTATAGAGAATGTCTAATAAACAAGTTCAAATTGTATCTAATTTTGATTTAGAATATGAAGAAAATTTAATATCCAATCAGAATGTGTTTCATCATTTGTTGACTGCAGAAGACATTCAAGAAATAATTTATCGTGTTTTTAATAACAACATGGAAATCATAAACTATTCTCTTCGACCATATTCCAATGGTAAAATTGGCTTTCTTGGTTCGCATCAAAAACTTTGCATTACGACGAGACAAAGGAATGAGAAAAAAACATTCATCTTTTTTGCGAAGATAATACCATATGATGTACCTGATCAAGCAGATTACATAATAACAAAAGGTATTTTCAATAAGGAAGTAATATTTTACAATGAAATAATACCAATACTATATGAAAATTATCGAGGAGAACGTTGGTCTCCAAATTGTTATAAAGTAAAAGATAATTATTTAATATTCGAGGATTTACAACGAAAAGGATATACAATGCGAAACAAACTCTTCAATGAGGAACTTACTACTGCAGCTTTGACAACAATTGCACAGATGCATGCAGCATCATTAATAGCAGAAGATCGTTTGGCAATGCCTTTGAATAAAATCTATCCTAATGCGTTTGAGGAGAAAGGATTTATTTGGGCAGGGCAAACTAAACAATGGATTGATGCTGGAGTTAAAGTAGCTGTTGAAATTGCTAAAAATCTTGGCCTTGATTCAAGCTTGATACCAATAGCATCACCAAAAATCATGGAAGCCATTCAATCTTCTACAAAGAAATCAAATGTGATTAGTCATGGTGATCTCTGGGCTAACAATTTGATGTTTAATAACGACAAACCTCCGAAGTGTTTGTTAATTGATTTTCAAATACTCAGATACTGTCCATTAGCACACGATATCTCTCAATTACTTTATCTATGTACATCCCGTAGTTTTAGAGAAACACGCGAAAAAGATATGTTGA